GGGCAGGTCCTCCCCACCCGTGCCCTGGGTGGGGATGGGCTAGAGGAGGGTTTTTAACAAAGTGCCGCTTCTCCAAAAGGTTTCCCATCCCTCACATGATCATTTCTCAGAGAATAAAGTCTCAAGGGACAATTGACTCCACCACGAGGCTCAGCAGCTGAGCCCGGAGCTGTCCTGCCTAGGTGGGTGCGGAGGACAAGCTGGGGAGCCACAGCAGCATGAATTTCCAGGATTAAATTTCCAGTGGCCCCTCAAACAGGTGAGAAGCCCTCAAGCTGATGGTTCACGGCAACAGCACGGAGCTCCTGGCGTGGCTGGCCGAGGTCGGGCAGGCGAGGGGGATGAAGGCAGGAGGAAGCATGTGCAGGGCTCAGCTCGCAGGGAGCTGGCCTCAGGTCTTTTAAAAATTGCTCTTGTGAAGTCAAAAGGGGAGGAAAAAAAAAAACAAACCACAACAAAAATAATTGGCAAACACCCATGCTGGGTAGATGTCCGAGCTGCATAGAGAAGGCTTCGTCTCCACATGGCAGGGGAAGGAGAAGGGAGAACCTCAAGAAAGTGCTTTAATTACTGGGGACAAAGTTGCTCAGAGAGGAGAAGCAGGAAAGCAACCCGGGAGCGGGGGCTGAGCGAGCCGTGCCGATGAGCGTGGGGTACAGGATGTGACCCCCCAAAGCTTCTCCTTTCCCAACTGCTTATCGTAAGCAAGTCTCTTCTGAGCCATCCTCAACACTTCTTCTTGAGCACCTCCTGGAGATAGCGGGCAACTTCGGCGGCCGACTCCCAGGGGACAACGGTGGCCTGGAAGGCTCCAGGCTGCTTCTTCTCCATCTCTTGGGTCATCCGGTGCATGGGGTAGCCCTTCCGTGGGAAAGCCACATCAGATGAAGTCAAAGTCACGGAAGGGCAGAAGTCATTGGCACCATCTCCCACGTAGAAGACCCTCTCGAACTCCACCTCCTCCTGGGCTCTCTCCGCCAGGTATTCCGTGAGGATTTTGCGTTTGCACATGTTGGCCGGGCAGTCAAGGCACTTGTGGCTGTGGTAGGGCCCCAAGGTGAAGTACCCCCTCTTGTCAAAGCCGGATGGGTTGCTGAAGATCTTGCGGAAGAGGGAGTAGAAACCGGCCGCCCTCAGGTTGGCTTCGATGCCGAACATGTTGGCATCAGAGATGAGGGTGATCTCGAAGAGCTCGTGGTTCTTGGAGAGGAACTGGAAGAGGTCCGGCATGCCAGGGGACAAGGGGATGTTCTCGTAGACAGTCTTGAAGTCCCCCATCTTGACCCCCTGGTCCCCCATGTAGGTCAGGACGCGCTGCATGTACTCGTTGTAGAAGCCCTCGCGGAAGGTCTGGCGGATGTGCTCCGGAAGCGCCTGCCCCGGCGCCGCCCGCACGATGGAGTCATCGCTGTTCTCGTTGATGATGGTCTCGTCGAAATCGAAGACGAGGAGATATTTGGGAGGCCGGGGACTGGCCATACCAAAACCCTGCGAGGTGGAAGGGTAAGGGCCAGCCGTTCGCTCAAGGGGCTTCGCGTCAACCTTGGCGC